TCGTAATGGGTTAGGAGAACGACTGTTTCCTTTAATCCCCGTCTGAGTCCGCAAGATCAAATTAAACGATGGGTTTATCATTATCAACAGTATCTCATACCTTCTCTTAACATCAAGTTGACAACTCCTCGTCACTTAGTGATGCATCTCATGCAACCAACCTGGCACTATTGCCCCAAGAACATAAACTCGGCTGAGCCTGCAACTTATGCACCCGGTCAAGCACAAACCACCATTCTAAGTGTCTCTACACTTCAAGTATTCATCTTACCCAACGAAATAGTGGGTCTCAACTGAGTTGTAGAGCACCACCACGTCGAAGGGATTCAATTTGTATCGATGGTAGGAGGCTATCATGCACTTAATAATTGTTCCTTTTAAGGGTTCCTTTTATTTTTATTAGAAATTTACCAAGTCTCATCAAACGTGCATATTGTACTATCATGCTAGTCGTTGCCCTATGTCATACATCTACAACATTCTATACTAGTCGCTTTTAGACATGCACAATAGAAACATACATACGCGGTTTTATGACATGCATACTAGTTGCTTTGACATACACACATATATTCACAGGCATAATAAATCATATATATTTTGGGATAGTCATGATACTCATGTCATCTTCTCCCATCGTGCTCCTTTAAGCCGCGGCTCCTCCATGCCTAAAACGCCACTACGCTAATTTTTAATTACATATTAATTCAAGAAACCCCAAGTTACATTTGGGGATAGTAAGGTGAGAAAAGAATTTACACAAGAGTAAAAGAAAGACAAGCTATACAAGCCTTATTTATCAAAATTAAATTACAATGATTAAAATTTAATTTTGGGCACCATGACCATCCCCTTCCCTTATTTGCACCAGAAATGTTAGTAACCAAACAAGTGCAAAAATATACAAAATATGTTCTATGCTTTTACATGGACATATTAACATTTAACATATCCAAAATTTAAAATTTTATACAAAGATCATATTTTTACCGAATAAAAAGTTAAAGATCAAATCTTTATTTGATCAAAATGTCAAAGATCATATCTTTAACCAACAAAATGCAAAGTTCATATTTTTAACCGATTAAAACGTCAAAGATCAAATCTTTAATCAACCAAAACATAAAGGTCACATTTTTAACCGATTAAAATGTCAAAGATCAAATCTTTAATCAACCAAAATATAAAGGTTACATTTTTAACCGATCAAAGATCAAATATTTAATGAACCAAAATGTAAAAATCGCATTTTAACCGAACAAAAGTACCCAAAGGCTTTGTTTGGGAGTTTGGAGGGAAAAGGAAGAAGGGGATCCAAGGGGAAGAAAATTGAAGGTTATTTCCCTTCCCTTGTTTGGGAGTTAAAAAAATGGTAAGAGAGAAAAATTGAGGGTTAACGAAATATTTTTTCCAATTTACCTTTTTTTTTTAAATTAATATAATTATTATATTTCACAAATTAAAATTAATTTTAAATTTTTTAACAAAGCTCATATTTTTGAAGAAATTTCTATGTTGCAAACGACAAAAATTTCTTCACAAAATTATGTTTTCGTCGAAATACTTTTCATCGAAAAGCGACAGATTTTTTCTCCGACGAAATTTTTTACAAAAATAAATTTTCTACCAAATTTTTTGATGAAATCTAGTTTCCGTCAAAAGTTTTGACGAAAATGATTTCCTCCATCAAATGTATTAAACGAAAAAAAATCCATCAAAAATTTTGACAGAATATTTTTCGCTCAAAATTTCGATGGAAATGTGTTCTGACGAAAATTTAGACGGAAATTTTTTTGTCAAAAATTTTTAGAGAAATGTTTCATTCGAAACTTTCGACAAAATTTAGATTCTGTAAATAATTTTGAAAAAATATTTTTTCCGTCAAATCAAAAAAAATTTCATCAAAATTTTTTATGGAAATATTTATTGTCGAAATTTTTTGACAGAACTGTGTTCCGTTGTAAATTTTGATGAAATTTTTTTTATCAAAAAACTTGATGCTAATATTTGCCATTGAAAATTTTCGATAGAAATGTGTTTCGTTAAAAATTTTGACGGGAATTTTTTTTTGTCAAAAAGTTTAACGAAAATGTTCCTGTCAAAAACTATCGACGTAATTTGAATTCTGTAAAGAATTTTGATGAAATTTTTTTTCATCAAAAATTTTCGATGGAAATGTGTTTCGTTGAAAATTTTGATGGAAATATTTTTTGTCAAAAATTTCGATGAATATGTTTTTTTGTGAAATATTTTGAGGAAAATGTTTTGATAAACTATTTTCCGTCAAATTTTGATGGAAATGTTTTACATAAAAATTTTTGACTAATTTTTTTACGTCGAAATTTTTCGATGGAAATGTGTTTTGTCAAAATTTTGGACGGAAATATTTTCGTTGAAGTTTCGACATTATTTAGATTCTATCAATAATTTTGACTAAATTTTTTTTTTCGTAAAAAATTTATGTCAGTGATTATGGCAAAATTTGGTTCCGTCTCTAATTTCGTCTTTCCGTCTCTAATTTCGTCTTTAGTTTTGACGGAAAGTTTTTGACTTATATGATTTTCAACAAAAATTTCATCACTATTTTGGACGAAATATTTTTCGTCAATAAATTCTGTCGGTATTTGAGACTTTTCTAATAATGTCACATTTAAAAATGATTCATATTTATGTAGTTTTCACATTTTAATGCTAAGGGTAGATAAGTAATTTTTAATATTTTTCCCCGCAATTCCCCCAAATTGGGAGAACTTTAATTTTAAGAAGGAGGATTTTTGAGGATTTAGTAAAAATCCCCAATTTCTTTGCCTCATTTTTTTAAACTCACAAATAAGGGAAGAGTTTGCTAAAACCATCCCTTTCTTTTCTTTCCCCTCCTAAAGCTAACTCCCAAACAAAGCCTAACTTGTCGATAGTAAAGCAACATAAATCTCCTTCATCGATGTGAGAATTTTATTGATGAATAATATATTGAAACGTAATTCATACTAAATTTTCAAAGAGGTTGGGATCTTTTTTTGACTTTACTGGGATATCAATATCTAATTTCACTTAAAATTTCATATTAAAAAAAATTAATATTATTATTTTTGTATTTTGAAATAAAAGCAAGTTCTAAATCACAACTTTTATAAATTGCATCGTTAAGAGACAATGAATAATGAGCTTGTTTTAAATAATAAATGAATTAAGGGTGTGAATGATAAATTCTATTTTTCTACCTCTGTTTTTGAAAATTAAAATAAAAAAATCTGTGTGTTTAGAATAAATTTCTGAGAAAAATGTATATTTGATAATACAACTTATTTTTATATTCAAGGATACTATATTTAACAAATAGTATTTTTTAAAAATAGTTTAAAATGTTTTAAGGATTAATTTTTTTTCCTGCAACAAGAGATAAAATTATTTCTTATAATTTTAAAATGACTTTTAGTATTTGAATAAAATTCATCATATAAGAAGGAAGTAAAATTTTTAAATACCCTATATTTTTTTTTTTCAAATTCCAAAACAATAATATTTTGAATTATAGGATATAATTTTATCTAGAAATATTTTTCCCAATATTTAATAGTGATAGCACCTTTTACGATTTCTGTATTTAATAAATAATGTATCAGGAAAAATAATTACTTATTGTTTCTGGCGATTTGTATTTCCTGATAATTGGTTTACTATCTGAAATAGAAAAATAAATTGACATAATCAAACGTTATTTTAACCATATTTATTTTATCCAATTAAAAATAATATTTTTTTTTTTTTTTGAAAAAAATATCTATGACATAGCACAGAAGCGTTCAAGTTTACTGTGAAAATACTTGTTACAATCATGGATCTATTAGTTTTCTTAACAAGGTAAAGAATAATGATGTTTACATAGATTTTACATTCCTCAGCTCTGCAGTGAACATATTTGAGCTACGGAGACTATTATCCTATAGAAAAGATGAAAATCCATAAAGAATTTGTGAACATAAGGCTTTGTAGGTATCTTTACTTCACAAGATAAAAGAAAATATGGGTCATAGAAAAAAAATATTGGATGTGATGGATGAGATTTCATAAAATTAACCTAAAAAATTTTATCTATAAATTTGACATTGCAAGATGTTCACAAATGTAGAGTAGCTATTAGCTAAAACGCATCCATTAAGAAGCAAATGACGCTAATGTCCTGATGGCAAAAGGATTTGAAATAGAAAGGAAAAATAGTGTTAATATTTTGCATGTACAATTTAAACTCAATGCATTTCCCTATTAAACATGGTTGTTTTGAAGTTTATCATGTTAAGAATTCTATAACAGTAAACTACAAGGGGCAACCTTTACTGCATTACGAGGACTTCACCATAAAGATAATAAAATTGTTTTGTAGTATGACGTTATTGACCTGTAGAAATTTACAAGCTAGAAGTTTGGAAGATAATCAATTGATAAACTTGCTTTATCCTCCTCAACATTAGAGAGAAACACAGATAATCTAGTTCTGGGAGTGGTCGTATTGAAAACAAGTGCAAGTATGATTGAAAGCACAAAGATTTTCTTAGTAAAGCTGTTCATAAGTGAAATTAAATGTGTTTCAGTAATCACCAAGCATATCAACTGACTGTGAGTGAGTAAGCACTGAAATTAGACTGTGTTACATGCTGCTAAAGATACCTTACATTACAAATTAGAAACTTATAGGCATAAGTAAACAAAATGAAAAGCCATTTTTTTTACTGACAAGTCCAGTTATTCAATTCATTCAAAATGTTATCCTCAAAAGACACTTCCACAACCTGCATTACATGGATTCCATTTTGCAGCCCCATCAGTGTTCATTTTAAAGCACTCCATCAATAGAGGCTACATACATATGGATATCAGCTTAATATTTTTTTTTTCCTATCTTCCTGAAAAAGCAACCTTTTGGCCCCTTTTTCAAAAAACAATTCTAAGGACTAATAAAATGGCATGTCATAAATGAAAAACCATACAATTTATGCATACAAAATCAAAACTCCAACAAAAATATTTCTTAATTACAAAATTTAGAAATTGGCAAAAGCATGCTGTGGAAAGGACTTCTTAAGTTGGATTACATGTAATGAGATTAATCCATTCATACAGCATAAAGAAAACTGCCAATCTGATGGTTCAACAGCTAGGTTACTGGTTCCTACGCTAATGTCCTTACAGAATGAGAGGGAAAAAAAGCAAAAAAGGAAAGAAATTCAGAGACTCATCTTGAGGAAATGTATGCTTTTCAATAAGACAGACATCTTGATTCATATCACACACATCACTTGGGCTCTTTGGGAAAATGCAGCTTGATAAGTGCAGGAAGTTCTGCTAATTCAACCTGAGGTTTCCCCAATAATATACTTTTTAACTTTTCATCACAGTTGACCACATTCTTGTTGTTTGGATCCTGCTCAATTAAAGAAACAACTCATCTTTTAGTCAGTCCATTGAAGCTGAATATCAACATATTAAAATATATAATACCCAACAAATAAAATATCCTAGCAAATATGAAGGCAACACCAACTCAATAACTGGATACATGTATTTTATAAATCCATAACTTGCATTTACATAACTTCACAACTTAAAGTAAAATACAAAGATTATAAAACAGTTTAAAAACTTCATAAAGGGACTCTCCTGTGTTGATAGGGCATGATTCAAACAAGACACAGATAGCAAACTAGTGATCTTTCTAGTCATGCCTCAACCTATGTATACAAGAGCACAACATTTTGCTAAGTAGTAATTTAACATTAAAGCTGCAAGGACCATATATTAGCCAAAGCAACACTTAACATTAAAAAAACTACGGGACAAAATCAACTTATACCGGTGTAAGAATAATATCTTAGCCGCTAATTTCCGTAAATCAAACGACTATACTTGATTGAGTTATTCTCATTAATTAATTATTAATTTTCAATAAATTATAATCCTTATATTTATAAAAAACAATTGTTAAATCGAGCGTAAACTTTATTACTTTTACACCAGTGCTGCCCCAGAAACTATTAGTCTATCAATATTGAATTGCTCAACAACCTCAAAAGAGCCCCGTTCCAATCTTTCATTATATATAGATCCTACTTGATTTCATCATTACCACTCCTCAAAGAAGATGAAACATTATTTATTTGATTACCCTTGAATTCCTTCAATTGTTTAGAAAAACCCTTAGCTTAAAAGCCACACCTTGCATTCTACCCCCTCATGAAATAAACAATTCATATCATCCTGTCATCACAAGTAACCTTCATATAAAATTTATAAAATCTAATTTCTCAAAAGGAAAGAATTGAATTTGATTTTAACAGAAATAACAAAACAAAAAAGAAGCACCTGGAGATTATTGGTTTTGATGTAGGACCAAACGCGCATGAAACAGCCCAAACGAGAAATCTGAGATTGACCCACAAAGTCTCTGAGAGTGGATGGAAGGTTCACAAGGTCAATCAAGTTGGCAAGCTTCTTTGGGTTATCAGTGATAGCTTTCTTCATGCGCTGAGGAAGCATTTTTGCTTTCAATCCACAAAACCAATGGTTAAGGGATCTTGGGTACTGATCAAAATCAGACCTTTGGAGAGAAAGAGAGAGAAAGGAGCGTGCTTGGGATTGAAGGAGGCAACAAAATGGAAATGAAAGCAGAGAGAAGAATATAGGCTTGAACTTCGAAGAGTGTTATAGTGAAGTAAGATACCCATAAAACAAATAAAAATAAAAAATAAAGTGAAAGGTTTGTTTATTTATTTTTGGTGAAAAGGTTTATTTTATTTTATTTTATTTTTATACATAGTTTATTTATTTCTAAATTGTAAAGAATTAAGATTATGATATATTTTAATTTAGATAAAAAATAAAGCTCACATGATATTATTTTGTAATTTGATTTGTTTTTTATCCAATGATAACAAAATTAGTCATATAAAGTGGTAAGAAAAAATTGTAGAAGATATATCCTCTCCCAAAAATAAATAGGATTTAATATTTTTTTTGTTGTAGGAGATAAATTTATCTCCTACACATAAATAAAAGTATATGAAACCTATATAAACTAAAGGGAAAAATATTTCTGCAATTAATGCAGATAACTTATCTGCATTTATTTCCAAAACGACGTTATTTTGGTATTAAAATCTTAAAAAATTATAAATATAAAGACTATTATAATCCTGAAATAAATTAAAATTACAAAAATACCATAATTTTCGCCTTAAAACGACGTCGTATTGGGTTTACTGCAAATAACTTATCTGCAGTAACTTCAGAAAAAGCGAACTCTAAACTAAAATGAGGAGAAGAAAGAATGATAAAACACAGGTCTCGTATACTTTTATGGAAAAATATATCTTGTAGAAAAATATTTTTATCTCCTACACATACATCGATTTTCGTGTCACTTTTTTATCTTTTTATCTTTTTTTATAAATGAGTGGGTCCTACACATGATTATCTCTACAACATGAGAGAGCTCTTACCTATTGCATGGGATTAATAAAGCCCTACTTTTATATATAGATAGGAGGTATAATTTATCTTTTATAACATGAAAAATATTAAACTCAAATAAATATATTCCTACTTATTTATTTTACAAATGAATTCAATTTAAAACAGTTAACATTATATATTAAACAAAGACATGCCTATTTTTTGTTTTGTATTTGTGGTAATTTATGTTGTTATACTTAAAAATAAAAAAATTGAAAAAATATAGAGCTGTTTTTTTTTTGGTAATTTAGAGCTGATTTTTTATTTTATTGTTATCTTTAAAATTACTCTCTAAATCAAATTCAAAAACAATTCGAAAGAAAAAAAACTTTTTGGAAATTCTGTTCTTAAAACAATTGGAGAAATTAATTTTGTAAAAAGGGGGAGGGGGAACTGGTAAAACTAGAGGTGGCAAAGCGGGCTGCCCGCCCCGCCCCGCCCCTGCCCGCCAAAAAGCGGGCTGGCCCGCCCCGCCCCGCCATTGAAGGTGGGCTAGATATCTCTGCCCGCCCGCCCCGCCATTGAAGGTGGGCTAGATATCTCTGCCCGCCCCGCCCCGTTTGGGCGGGCGGGGCGGGCTGCCCGCCAAGCCCGTCACATTTTACATTAAAAATTAAAAAAAAAAAAAAAATCAGCCCGGGCGGGCTGGCGGGCTTGGTGGGCAGCGGGTTTAGAAAACTCAGCCCGCCCCGCCCCGTTTGGCGGGCAGGGCAGGGCGGGCCGGCCCGGCAAGCTCGGCCCATTTTGCCAGCTCTAGGTAAAACGGTAAAATTATTTTGTAAGTCTAAAACAATAAAGTAATAATAATAGTGGAAGGATATTGTAATAACTAACTAATGCTACTATCAATGTTACAACCAATCAATTTCACTGTTAGATCAATTATGTTGATCTAACGGTTATATTTATTTTCATCTGTGTGTGGTTATGATTCCCTATATTTTATACTTTATATTTATTTTCACCTTTGTGTGATTATGATTTTCCATATTTAATGTGAGAACATTAAATATGGAGAATCATAACCATACAAAAATAGAAATAAATATAACCATCAAATCAACATAATCGATCTAACGGTGAAATTGATTGGTAATAATATTAATTGGTTGTTACAACTTACAATATTTTCAAAAGATGCATTTGCCCAATTGACTTAGCTAGGAAAAATCAAATAATTTAGATAGTTCTTTTTTTTAAGGTATAACTACATTCTGGTATGATTTCACATTAAATATGGGGAATCATAACTATACAAAAATAGAAATAAATATAACCATTAGATCAACATAATCGATCTAACGGTAAAATTGATTAGTAGTAATATTAATTGGTTGTTACAACTTACAATATTTTCAAAAGATGCACTTGCCCAATTGACTTAGGTAGGAAAAATCAAATAATTTAGATAGTTCTTTTTTTTTTTTTAAGGTATAACTACATTCTGGTAAGGTTTACAAAAGCAAAAGTGAATTAATCGCTTTTTCTTTTTTTTGGAAACATAATTAATTGCTTTTTAAACTTGTACAAAAGGGGGGAAAAATCTTAAAATTTGAAAATATAAAAAAGTTTATGATAATAAATTAGAAACAGTATACTGTCTTCAAAATAGTTATTTGACGGTCATATACATTGACACAATTTCACTCTGCTTACACATGATCTTTTTTTATTTTAGTTTTATTATTTGAAGCAAATATACTATTTCTTAATATTTTAAAAATCAAATCAGAAATTGAGAATTTTCAAGTTATGATTCAATTTCAACTTGGTAATATATAATATACGATTTTTTTTTTAAAAAAAAGTGAATTACTTGATAAAGGGGTCGGGGATGGAATTAGATTGCCTCAGAAATATAAGAGTGATTTAAAATATGTTTATTTTAAATTATTGATAACTATTAACTAATGAAAAAATTATAGCTTACGAAAGGTTGAAGAAAATATATTTAAGGGTCTAGTATTTTTTCCTATCATAAAATTATTTCCGTAAAATAATGTCATTTTGAAATGGCGGAACATTAAGTATCCCAATTTAAATCAGCGTTTTTACGATTTTATGATTTTTTTTTAATCAAAACGATTTCATCAAAATTCCAAACGTTTTTACGTTTTTTCAATTTTTTCTACGTTAAGATTTTACGTTTTACGATTTTTTATCCTCCTCTCAATTTTAGATAAAATCCCGATTTTAACTACGATGGACAAGAAAAATACATGATATTTTGAGAAAATTTACAATGCGAAAGAGACATAAAATTTTCAAAGCGTCATTTTTTTCCAACTCAAGATGATTAAAGTTGCAACAAATAACTTTATTTCATGTTAGAGGAAAAATATTTTTTTTTTCAATATTTAATTTAGCAAAAATTGTCACAATTAATGCAATGTTGATCGGCACTAGCATTTTTCCTTTTGTTTTCTTTTTTTGAAATTTTATCACCCGTTCATTGAACAATAACAATCCCTTCTACTGACTTCCATAAAACAACTAGGGCCATATTGGTGAAGCCATTTATATAACTTATATATAAAAGAAATGTGAAGCCATTGCATTAGTATGCATGAAATGATACATAAAGATGACATAGGCATGTACATTATTGTGCTTGTATCATTCTGTCCCTGTCAAAATTGCCTGCAAACTTAACCATATGGATTTCTAAAAGTCTTTAAGAGGTTAGGAATGTCATAAGCAAGCATTTCATCCACTGATTGTATCAATTTTGGTTTCAATTTCTCAAACTTGTCAATGTTGTAACCACTCAAGGTCTCTTTGAACTGATCAACATTTGGGAAATCACCAGGAGGTAGATGGAACTCCTTTTGTACCTGTTTAAGATTGGTGTTATATATATATGTGGATTCCACTTTTCAAGCTTTATCATAGTAACAAGAGCATGTGACCAGAAAGAATGTACACATTGGGATTCATACCTTTGCAAATTCATCATCCAAGTTATCAATGAGCTTTTGTTGAGCTTTTGCTTTGCCTATCATAGCAGGCATATGCTTCTTAAGATGACTGATAATATAAGCATGTATCTTGGCAGCTCTAGCTCTTTTTACAAATTCATTGATCTACAATATAAACAAAATGTTATTTTAATTTTGAAAGGAAGAAACTTCAATAAATAAAACATAACTAATGATTAATTGGATGCTGAAATTCAAGAGATCGTATAACAGCCTATAAAATGTATACCAGAACCAAAAAATAAGGTTCTATTGTATCAAACATCTATGCACAAAATGACATTAGTTTTGTACCAAAATAGTGCTTCCACCACCATTTGTAATATAAAGAAGGTTTATATGAAAAAGTACTTTCAAATCAATAGGCTTAATTTCTTATCATTTCATCCAATATATCAACCATCTTTCAATCTTCATAGTTCACAGTGGTGGAGTTATTAGAGGGGTTAGGGAGGGTGACCACCACTCCCTCAATCTCATATAGACCAGTATATTAGGCTCCATTCAAACTTAAAAGAAATGTAATATAAGTTTTCCCCCTTCAAGCTTTGCCTTCCAATTTTCAATCTTATTATTTATCATATATAAAGAAAATTTGGAGGGTTCTTCGAATTTGACCATGCATTGATTTTTAGCCTTCTCTTGGAAAATTTTCTGGGTCAGCCATTGAATTAGTTAATACTTTATTTTAAACGTTAGATTCTAAAGATTATTGTCAATAAAGAGTTTTGCTAACATGCATATTAATGCAAAAGAATTCGTGTCTTATAGGGAAAGATATTATTATGATCAAAATATAAATTAAATAAAAAAAACTCACTTTTCTATCACAAGCCTTCTTTGGTATATCTTTCAGATCAGAAAGAAGATCCTCCTGTTCTTTTTCAAAGAGTTCATTACCAATTGGACAACTGACACCATCACCTACAGGCTTGTCATTGAAGGAGCTGCCAAAATAATTTAATTGATCAGAGAAGAGCACAAGGTAGTAGTCTCATAACCAAGGAGAAGAAAAGTCAGTTAAATCACATCTAAATTGCATAGTAATATGTACAAGGTAAAAAGTTAGACAAAACAAAAGGAAAAAGTGTCTTCCTACCACAAAAAATAACAAAGATGCTACAAATTCATGACATGCCAAAAATGATAAACTCAAAACTTGTAATTTCAAAAGCAAATATGCATCCAGTTCTCCAAGTCAAAGACAACATTTCAAGATTGAAAGTGGAGTGCATGCACAAATATAAAGTGACCTACCCAATATACACGCGCATGACTTCAGGAATATTCAGCACCTTCCCAAGTGACCACATTAAAGCACCATAAATCCTCATTAGCTGCAACATTGAACCATAAAAATATACTGGTTATGTTTCCCCTAACGATGATGCAATAGATTTGTTAAGTAAACAAATAGAAGATCAATTATATAAGCTCTTACTTGTTGAGTATCAACTTGGTCTGCCTTGTTCAAAACCACACGAATTTTATCATCATGCCCCCTTAAAGATGATATCACACGCTTGAACTCATCACTGACATCAAGCTTGTGAGGATCAAACAGAAGAAGTATCAAATCACTTTTAGCAGCAAACCAAGATGTTACACCAGTAAAATCATATGCTCTATGTGTCCGTTGCTTTTCTCCTGATAGAACTCCAGGACTATCCACAAATGTAATGTGCTCCAGTAACTTTAGACAATTGAGAAAAAGTAAGTTCCAAATGCTACAAAAAGGAAAATCTCCTAATTTTTTTAATGGTTCTAGAGATACTTACAGGATGGGGCATTTGAGAACACTCAAACTTGGACAAAAAAGCTGTGCCAAAAGTTGTAAGACCACTAAATGGCATGTCGGCTTGGACAGCAACAGTATTACCAGGAATACTTCTCTCATCAGGTCCAGACTGTGTAGATAGAACTACAATTAGTTCTCCAAGACAAACACAACAACAGATTTTCCCAGATAACCATCATTTCAAAATGCCTCTTTTGCCTTGGCATTTTGATTTATGAAGTCATTAAGAGTAATTTCAACAGAAAAAAGTGGTAAAAAAACTACAGAGAGTATCTCAGACAATATTTATTTCAAAATGTGACATCTCAAAAACATAATCATGTCCAAGACCAGGCAATAAAATATAAGCCTTCAATGAATTTCAGCGAATAATTTCAAAAGATTATCCTTTTCCCAGTTTTTTAGCATGACGCTCACACTCGTTTTTATCACCAATAATCAACTATCCAAAGATGTTGAATCATGTCAGGTCTTAGAAGTCAGTTTGATATATAAATTTAAAATTGAGAAAATCTTTAAGATTTATGAAACTCAAAGATCATATCAGTAGTGAATGGAGACTAAATGCTTGGCACATACCATGACAACAACAAATCTATCAGTTGTTGGCTCAGGTCCAATATGAGCTCCTAATGACATTTATGGGAAAAACAAAGTAAAAAAGTTAAAATCAGTAACATATATTGCATAACAGATGTGAGCATTCTCACATATATATTACACACGCATAGAAATCAAGACTGGAGAACCACCACTTGCCTGGATAACTACTATTAAGCATATGTTTGATAAATGTTGTTTTCCCAGTTGAGTACTGACCCAAAAGTAGAACCATAGGTTTGGCATCAAAATCACTATCTGTCTGCAGTAAGGAATAACTATCAATATAGAACCTAATTAAAAGCATGATCACAACATGACTAAATAAACAAATGACAGTGAACCTAGAGTAGCTAGTTCTTAACTTTACAAAATAAACAGATTCATCTACTGACCAGTAAAGGAGATACAAAATCATTAAAGCGGTAAGCAACTTCTAAAGGCTTCAACTTCTTATTGTAGAGTTTCTTCAAACCATCGATAACTGATGTAACAGAGGAAGAAGGAACCTGTGGACATACAAAAAATTTAAGTGAAAAACCTATATGAACTCATTTGGCAAATTTTAAAAACCAACAATAGCAAGGAAGTAGCAAAGAACAGATAAAACAACCTCCTCTAGAACATATCTATAGTACTATCAGAAACCAAATTAGATGGATGTGGGGAAAGAAAAAAAAAACACGATTTTGTTAGTTCACAACAAGATAGGAACAATTCAAAGCTGACACCTCAAATCTCACATGTTCAGTGTCAAGCACATTACTAGTACTAGCTTATGTCGCTTACAAACATACAAGAAAATAATTGTACTAGCACAATTTGTTGGTTTCAGTCCATAATAATTGTCTAAACCCAAACTCCATGAAGCACGGACATTCCAAATTTTGGATGTTGTCATGTCAATCTTCAGTAGCCATACTTCTTAGCCCAGTTCAAATCCAGTCATAAAATAATTAGCTAAAAGTTCCAAATAAATCTATAAAGTTCTCAGACCCAGTACAGGTTGCAAAAACCAAATAAGTAGTACAAAGATCAATAAGTTCATTTGATTTATTCCTCTAGGATCATGAGTCAGACATGCTGAATTCTGATTCTTCAACTTAAAATTACTAAAAAGCAAAGGCAATAAAAAAAAATGAAGAATAAAAGCAGCTCTAAAATAGTAAGTCTAAGCTTTTGTAGCTGTTATACAACTCAAAGCGTGCATCTAGCAAAATAGAGAGATTTTAACCAAACATTCAATCTTTATAATCTTCAAAATCATGATGATGCTAAATGACCACAATATAAGTAAAACTGGCAAACATGCCAGATCAAGTCTATCATTAGTTGAAAACCTGGAATAAATATCCAGTATTTTCCCTAGCAAAAGACGAGGATAATGCATTCACAGAAACAATCAGAGTAAAAGTAACAAAATGCTTACCTTTTTTGTTGACTTTGCAGAAAACCAATTACCTGAGGGTGATGGCTGAGAACTACCTGCATTATTGTCAATTAGTGAACTTGGAATTTCAAGTGAAAAGAAGAATGAAATAGAAAAGGTAAAAGCATGAATGCCCTTAGTCGATAAAATGGGAAATATATTACCATTCACATCTTTATCTTTTTGTTTCCGCTTTCTCTTCTGGATAAACAAAGCCAAGTGCTGATGAGTACTTCCATTTAATGAACATAAAGTATTAACATAAAAAGTGCAATACTTACTGCAAGTAGTCCATCCAAACCCTCCATCGTGGGTGGTTTTTGATTTTTCAGAAAAGCTGAAATAAAAGTGAAGATTCTATTAGGTAGCTTTATAAGATAGACACTCATGAGAAACAAAAATGTGCATTGCAAAATCTATAACTGATACAAACTCACAGAGTTATTCAACCTAACAATAGAAGACAAACCAAAATGTACAGAACTTACCATCACTATCATGTGTTATTGGATGCCCAGATTGTCCCAAGGAAATTAGCTGTAATTCAAATAGGTTAGGTTCTAGAAATTGGTCAGCATTAAGCTTCAACAAAGCATAGTTTTTTTTTTTTTTTTTTAATTTTTTTTTTACCAGCATAGCAATGACAAATTCTTTGAAACCAAGATATCCTTCTCGCTTTAAATCTGCAATAGCCCACACCTTATTTTGGTAAGGGGAGCAACAAAGAAACAATTTAGTTACAAGGAAGAAAGAAATAAGTCAAAAGAGAGACTATAAAAAACTATCAACTGGTCTAGCTTAACCTTAATTGTCCACACCATCACATCTAATGGAAACAAAATGGTATCAAAGCCAAATTTTTCATAAGATCAAACTGTAAGAGCTCAAATTTGATGCACTACCATTGTGATAAGCATCACTAGTAAACAATAAAGTGTTATGCCATTCGATGACTATGAGGCACTTCAATGTAGATGTAAATGTTGAATAGGAGATATCCCCATAATTATGACGTTGAAAATCATTAGTCAATCATATTGAAGACAAGCCTTAATCAACAAACACACTATTCCTATCTATAAATGCACAAAATAAATAAATAATTTAAAAACCTGCTTAAGTTCTTGCCGAGACAAGTTGGACATGGCGAAAAACTTAGTGGCTTCACTCCCCGTAAAGCGGCCATCACCATCTGAAAAACCCCAAAGACCCGATCATTCACAAAAGAGCAAATAGGTACACAATTTTTCATTTTTTTTGCACAGAAACCACATAAAGGATGAAATGGGGTGGTTCAAAAAAATCTTAACTACTAATTAACACACACTACAAAATATTCAACTTGCAATTCATGGCTCTATGAAAACTCCGTGCACACTTTTTACATGCATTTTTTGTTATCCCTTTTATAAAAGGGCATGGAATGAAATCAAATCCTCAAAAACTTCTGACCACAAACAGGGCCAAAAGCAACACCCCAGAAATTTTAATTTACAGAGAAGACAATAAAGAGTGAAAATTTATTCAAAGAAGAACCTGCATCTGCATAATTGAACCACTCTTGGTACATGTTCAGGTCCTCTTTAGAGCATGAACCAATTGGGATCGTGTCAATCTCCATCACGTGAATTATAATACGAAATTGGGATTTTGGGTTATTTTTTTTATGTTTTTGGTGATAGAGAAGAAGAGGTTGCAAATGCAGAGGGTTGGTGGTTATTGGAGAACAAGGGGTTCCATTGATGTTGTTGGAAACCAGTTTTTGCGCAAAACTGGGGCTTTTATAATTAACGTTGGTGATGACAGTTGAGACATGACATGCATGAGAATATAGAATTTGAATTTTAGTTAACAATTACATTTGAACGCGCCAAACGAGGAAATGTGATGGTGTCTTCTTAAAATTGGGTAAGGGTAGGGGTTGGCAAAATTATTTTACAACTCATCATCAATATTTTATTTAAAGTCAATTCAAACACTTAGAAATTGTGTTTTATTTTTAAGAGTTGTATTTGCTAAATCAAATTTATCAGTGTGTAGTTAAATATGGCTAAAGAATTACTCAAAGTATATGAACCCGCATAATTGATTGATAATTTTATTTGAACTTGGATATATGTATTTTACATACACGGTCCTTTTTTGAGTTTTCTTCCCTTTCTTTAGTATTTTTACAAAACAAATATGGTAGAGCAAGAACAGAGAAATTTAGAAGAAGAAATCACAAAAATAAAATAAAATGATGCCTTTAACCTCTTACACACAATGCCAAATTAATTTATAGTAAAGTTTTATGCATCAAAACTCTAATTACATAGACAAACTGCGTATGCAGGTATAGAACTAAAAAATTAGAGTAAATATACCAAAAAATTAAACAAATAAATAAATAGACAATTACACATGATAACCAAGCAACAATAACTAAATACTAGATTGAATCAAAAAAGGGAAAAATATCTGGCCTTTTTAAAGTATACAACTTTGTGTCATTTTAGATTCTAACCGTTGATTTTCGTCAATCAACGATTAAGATTTATTGGGACAAATTTATTAATTAATTAGTAATTCACAATAAAACCCAATAAATCCTAACCGTTGATTGACGGAAATCAACAGTTAGGATCTAAAATAACACAAAGTTATATCCTTTAAAGGACAAACATTTTTCCCATAAAAAAATAACTAAATACCTACATAAAAATAAGACCCATATAAAACGACCTCAACCCACGTCTCTTAGACTTTATATGAACTGCCAAGACATATTCAACCAAACTCAAATACAAATCTAACAACTAATCAAGTACAAAAACAAAATAATAAAAGAAAAGAAAACATAAAACTTGCAACATTCCCCCCCCCCCCCAAAAAAAAAATTCACTCTTGTCCGTAATTCCTTTTACTTCTACTATATTTCCCCTATCAGGCGGCTCCTCTTCCAGCTCCATCTCAGCTACTCCATTGTTATTGTCCATGATAGCTTGAATTGCATACAACTTCTTACAACGGTGACCTGGTGCATAAGTCTCGTTGCACCAAAAGCATAAGCCCTCTCATTGTCATTCCTAGATTTCATCAAAAGATAATCGTTTGACCGATGGTTTTTCTCTCCGAATTGGTTATTCGTGATGGAAAGGGAGGGATTTGTGATGTTAGGGGAAATCTAATTTTTTCAAACCTCATAGAATTTGGCAAGCCCAATAGCATTAGATAAGGAAGTGGGCTGATTTGCCTATACATCAGCCTGAAGCATCTCAGGAAGCCCACTTATGAAGCAACTTACCTACCTTGAGTGTCTGACCCAGTGTTGTTCGAATCAAAAATTGATAAACCAGTGGTGTAACCGGTCTGGGTAACAACAAGGACTAGACATGCTAGTGAACCGGTGTGAATTGGGTTGAACTGGCCGGTTATTATTAAAATCGGTGACTCACAGGGTCAAACAAACCAACCTGGTGATAAACTTTACCCATATCTCTTTTGGGCATCCTTCAAGATCTGTGATAGACAAAGAAGAAGAAAACTCCACCGATATGATAGATGAAAAAGAAGAAAACTCCACCATCGATAGAAGAAAAAAAAAATTAGATCCACCCGATCGATGAACACTTGAACAGAACTCTCCCATTCTTTTGGAAACAGGGATGCGAGAACCAATCCATGTAATCCGGCTCGCTTAGAAGTGGATTTGAACCACTGATACAAGGATTTTTTGTCCTTTGTTGTAACCATAAAAGAAATATAAAGGAAAGAAAAATAAAGCACCTTGAAGCAGAGAAGAATGGGAGGGAGAGTTGAAGATGATGCAAATGCTTTTCTTTTGGGATTCGGATGGGCTGCTTTTTGCCGTGATGTGAAAAAAGGAAAATGATGGTTTTTATTTTCTGCCAAATTGAATACAGTTGGAAGACTTTCTCAATTTTCTATAAATTAATTAATTAATAAATTAGTACATCTAAATTGCATCGAAAATTGAAAGGGTTCTTGTTAAAAAAAAGAAAATTTAATAATGTATTCAGCTTTTATATTGCATTGAACCGGTTGGAAGACTTTTATATTTTCATATTTTTTTCATGAATAATTTTTTCTTCGTATGCAACTTTATTTTTATTTATAATAACGAATTCGTATTCATTTTAATTTAAAAAAAATTTATAATCAGTATCCTCAAATAAAAACTTAAAAAGTATATATATATATATATATATATATATATATATATATATATATATATATATATATTCGGGTCATGCAGTTAAACCAGTGACCCAGTACTCGGACCGGTTTGATAACCGGGTTGGTTTTTATAACATTGGTCTGACCTTGGAGAGCAACCAATCAAATTGGCTTTGATTACCATGTTGCTCCAACTTGGTCAATTCCCCAAAGAAATCAACAAATTGATTAGCGTCGTAGCGCTGCAATATTTCATTGTGAAACTCCAACCAAGTGACATTCGGATGGTCTTGGATGAGTAATTGATACCACAATTGAGCATCTCAAGTGAGATAAAAAGACGCCAGTGAAACTTTTTCTTCTTTCGAGGTGCGATGGTACTGAAAAATTTGTCAAGCCAGGCATAGCCAACTAGTTGGGTCTTCATTGTCATCGAATCATGAAAAATTCAACTTTACTACCTTGGAAGAGTATATTGTGTGGGAACTTGATGCATTATGGGAGCAAATTGATTCATTATTCATACGACTTCCATAATGATCCATTTTTGAGGTGTTAGTGCAGTGGCCATTACATCCAACCTATTGAAAACTTGAGCGAATATCTCCTTAAATTGCTCTGACAAGGATTGGACTGCATCTTCCAATCTCTCCACACTTCATCCATGCATATGCTCTGATACCAAGTTGGTACATAAAAGGTCTTGTTTGGGTTTTCTTCCATATCTTAGCTAATTTTGCAACATAATTTTGGTAGAGTAATGTAACACCCCGTATGCATCCGGTTATGTTATCATTGTTTATGATATTAAGCACAGTTACAATCACAATGGTATCTTTAAAAAATTACGATAAAACTTTTTCTTTTTATTACCATTTACAAAATCCTTACATTTACAAAACGTTCGTAATAAATATTTTTCAAAAATGTGATTGCAACTCAAAACTATCGCGGAACCATAAATCTTATTGCTTAACATCATACAACATCCATTTAAAGTTGCTAAGTGGTTCTCATAAACCAACGAAGCACAAATACATATTTTTACGTTTTACCGACTTGAGGTACACTCAGTTTTAACAAAACTGCAACTGGACTACATGTCCATAAATTTCCATCTTTTTATATTTATTCTACACTCTTTTACCTTTTCAACAAGGTATCACATGCCCCATTTGGAGTTCTACAACTCCGGATATGCTCACCGTAAGTTACTTTACTTAAAACTGTCAAAACTGCACTGTCAATACTCAAACATATCTCACTATTTTTCAAACTGCAGACGTTTCAAATTTTAATATGTTCTAGGAAACACCTCAAGCTTCAGTTTAATATATTATAAGTCTTATTTGGGTAAGAAATGAGAGAGATATGAATTTTTCAAAAATAAACATCAATGTTGTAAAATACAACGCTGACAGAAACATCTCTCCCTCAAACGCAAACTGGGAAGTTTGTATAACTCCAAATGATGCCAAATTTTATGATATTATATGGGACTTCTTAAGCTTCAAAATAAGGTATAGTACGTCTTAATTGGACTACTATGGAGAGAGTTATGGTATCTCAAAGTTAGGGTAATCTCACTGTTTTTTCATAAATTTTAGCAAAGTCTCCTTTGTTTTTACAATTTTTACCCACTTTATACAAGTGTGTTCCAATACTCAAAAATGGTACCTAATAGACCAAAAGAGTGGTATTCAAATTGGTTCACTTACGACCGATAATATTCATCAATTCATATCATGTCTATTTATCATTCATTATAATTTAACAACATCAATAACTACAATAGGCTTTAGGCCATTCCATCACATACATTAATAATTACATATACAAGGTTCTCTAGTAATACAATTACATTACATCAACTATCAAGTTGAATTATTACATAATAATCAAGTGACTTAGACACAAAAGCATGAAAAACTCTAAGCATGTCCACAACAACTCATACAAGACCAATGTTCATGCACTAAGTCAATGATACAAAATAATCAACTATCAGGTGCATCAAAATAATATCTCAAAATGCCAAGTAATCCTTATGCACTCCTATGTACATGTCAAGATACTCCATATGCTCGTATCCACACTAGATGGGCTTCTTGCCCAAGGCTTCTCCAGCAGCACTAATAGTACCTAAAAATAATGCTCCATAATGCTGGGTGAGATTTGACAATCTCAGTAAATCACGAGTCCTGGAGAGTCACTCCACCCAATGGCTCACTCAATGTGCATGCAATGATAATCATATGAACAATATAACATACAAAATCATATCAATCACTGGGCAAACATCCAAGGACTACTACTCAAGGATCCCATTACAACTATCATCGGGCAAACATCAAAGAACTATTGTTCAAGGATCCTAGCACTGGGAAGACATCCAAGAATATCCCAATAAGGATTTTATGTAAGGATCTCATCATATAACTC